GGCACCGCACCCTGTCACACACAGAGCCTCAGGGCGATCAGGGGGTTGGGGAGCTCCCCGCTATCAGGCACAGAGCAGGGCTGATCAGGGGGTTGGGGCGCCTTCCCCTGTCATGAAGAGCAGGGTGGATAGGGAGGTTGTGGCCCGGCCCCTATCACACACAGAACCACAGGGCGATCAGGGGGTTTGGGCGCTGCCCCGTCATGCTGATCCCAGTGCCGGGAGGCCTCGTGGCTCTGCTGATACCGGTGCTGGGAGGCATATTACCCTTTTACTATATAGGGTAGAGACCTGGTGCACGGGTGGATGCTGGCTGGTTTGCCCTGAAGGGTGTCCTGGATCAGGGTGGGGGTCCCCACTGGGGTGCCTGGACAGCCTGGGTGAGGGGATGATGCTTGTTTGCAGCTGTTCACGCATCCTTCAGGGTGGGGGTCCCTACTGGGGTGCCTGGCCAGCCTGGGTGAGGGGATGATGGCTGTTTGCAGCTGGTCACACACCCTTCAGGGTGGGGGTCCCCACTGGGGTGCCTGGCCAGTCTGGGTGAGGGGCTGAGGGCTGTTTTCAGGCTGGGGGTGACAGAAGCTCCCAACCGCTTTTTTTCTTTCTTTTGTTTTTCTTTTTTTTAATTCTGGGCCAGTTTTAGCTTTGAGGCTTGGCTCCAGCTCTTAGGCCTCCGCTGCTGAAAGTAGGTTTCTGGCCTTTGCTTACAATGTTGCGATCCTGCTGGCTGAAGCCTGGCCGGACCTAAGCAGGTTTCTGGGGTTTTGTTTAGCTTCTATATTTGTTACATAGTTGCTTAGAGTTGCAGCTCAGAGGCCTGCAGCGGCAGGCAGGGAACGTTGGAGTCCTCCGTCACTGAAGCAAGCAAGCCTCATGTTAGTTTCAAGCTGCCTGGCTGCCGGCCGCCATCTTGGCTGGCAGTTAATTTTGCATATTGCCCTGATTAGCCAATGGGAAGGGTAGCGGTCGTACGCTAATTACCATGTTTCTCTTTTATTAGATAGGATAGCTAAAATATGTAAAGCTATAGAGAAAGAAAGTAGATTAATGACTGTTCAGGGCAGAGAGAAGTGTGTGTGTGTGTATGTGTGTGTGTGTGTGAGAGAGAGAGAGAGAGAGAGAGAGAGAGAGAGAGATGGGGGAGTGAGGAGTGACTGCTCATGTGTTCGTAGCTTCTTTTTAGGGTGATGAGATGTTCTAAAATGGATTGTGGTGATGGTTGTACAAGTCTGTGAATATGCTAAAAGCTTTTGAATTGTATGGTATGTGAACTATATCTCAATAAAGCTATTTTAAAAAGTATTACTGCATATTTCATTTCATCTGAGGGCACGGAGTTGTCTTTACTAAAGTTGTAGAGGCTAAGAAGACCCATATTCTCAATAAGAATACCAATCTAATAAAGGTAATAACTTATTTGCACAGTGTGTCATTGCTTGCCCATAGTTTTCACACACTTTAATTTGATCCCCACTGAACCCTAGTGTACAGATGAAAGTAACACACATAAAGAAAAAGTGACTTCTCTAAGATTACACCACTAATAGACTATAGAGCAAGTAAATACTTTCAAGTGCTCTGATTCCTGCCTGCTCACTGCACTCTTGTCAGAAAATTGCAAAGAAAGTGCTGTTGATGTTTCCCAGATTCTTAATTATGCTAACCCCTTTCACCTCTAGAAAAGTCACCCAACTTTCTCTGTCTTGCTCTACTTACCTGGAATATGGAGATAAGAATAGCTTCCACATTTCAAAAGTCAGCTACCTTCCTGTCTTGGTTTATTTATATAGAAGAGGGAGCTAGGATTCTAGCCCTTTCTCATGAGCATGGGATAAAGACTAATAAAAAACAATTATAAAACATTTTTCCAGACTATAAACATTCTTTATAATAAACTATCAAAGAGTATTGCTTCTCTCCTTTATGTTGTACAACTTCACAACCTCTGTGGGATGTAATAATAACCACTTATATCAGTTTTCTCTAAGGAGCTCAAAGCACTTTATAGACATCATCACATTAGTCCTCCCCACATCCCTGTGAGTTACGGATACAGAGGGAGCTGGTACCAGAGGAGCTGGAGCACCGAGCAGTGAATAATTTGCCTGAAGCCTTTATCTCAGGCAGGGTCTATACTATACCGATTGCTCATTTATTTGCCCCTAGTGGTATTTATTTGGTCAATTGCATTTATTCTCTATGAGTTTGTCACTTGTTAAACATGAAAAAATGCTTGAATAGCCCCCTTGAATCACTTTAGATCAGCTTAAACTTTATCGAGGGTAAAGCTGTTCATTTTGACCTGGCTGTGTCCTCCTGGATCTAGACTAGAAAACAGTTCAGAACTCCTGAATATATGCTCTTGATTTGAACATTTGCTATGTCCTGCTGTGTAGACTGGAGAAATCCTTGATGCGTCTTTGGAAACTACTCTCATTTGTCCAGACACTTCACAGGGTGAAGGCAGACTTCCTTCCAAGTCGTTGGGTTTTACAGTGTGTTTATATGTGGAAAGCTCATTTACCATCTGGATTACAGCCTAGATCTTCACCACCGCCATCATCATTTAATATTATTTTGGTCTTATGGCTTAATCCCATTACCATCCCTTCTGAGAGGGAATATGTATGAGGGGAATGTGTGAAATGATTAGAAAGGCCTGCATGGAGTTGGCCTTCGAGTGGCTTCTGATAACCCACTAGATAGCAGAGTGAAGCCTAACCCATCCCCTGGAAAACAGTAAATTCTGGCTTTTCTCTAGTTTCTTGCTGAGGCTGTCCTGGCGAGGTTTTTTGATTGGGGTGTTTTTGTTTTTGTGGTTGTTGGGGTTTGGGGGGGAAAGGGTGTTCTCTTTTGTCTTAATAATCTTTCATCTTACTTGATGGGGACACATTTCCTCCCCAGAAGTGGATTTCCCTTGCATATTAGCCTCGTTGGCACACTGCCCCTCTTCCCCCCCCTCCCCCTGGGGAAATGGCCCCAGTGCTGTGCACTGTCCT